TTCTCCATGGCGTCGTAAAGGTCCGCCACACTGTAGTCCACACCCTCGATTGTAAACGGTTCAGTTCTGTCACGAGCTAGGGCGACCATGTTGACAACGCCTCGAAACATAAGCAGCGCACTCGCAGGGATGGCTCCCTCCTCCTCCCCCTCCTCCTGCTCGCTGCCGCGTCCAGATTTGCCTGCGCGAACGCCCGGATATGAGAAAGCGGCCCAGACAATGAATACGCCTTCGCATGAGAGGAAGCCTCAGGTGTACTACACACACAGCAGTAATTTTGTTTTGTTTCCTCTGCGCACACTGCGTTCAATTGCAGAGTAACCACCTATATTTTGTCGATNCCTGCCTACTGGGGCAAATAAAACAGCCCTCGAGCATGCCGTATGCCTGCCACTGTACGTATAGGTCGATTTGAAGCGGGCACTAGACGCACACAGCAGTAATATTGTTTTGTTTCCTCTGCGCACACTGCGTTCCATCGCAAAGTAACTACCTATATTTTGTCGATACTCTCGTCTGCTGGGACTCTAATCGACGGCAAATCTACACAATACCAGCATCTCACCGGCTGCGATAGCATCGAGGTCGTCGAAGTACGGAGATGGCCGTTTCATGTTGGCGTCGAGAGATCGCAGGGCCGCCACCAGGACACCCTTGCTCTTCTGCGACATCCTCGGGATCTTGCGGTGCGCGCATGTCCGCTTCAGAAGTGTATGGCCCAGTGCGGGTAGTCCTTGCCCCGGGCTTTTTTGGCACTCGCGTGATGGGATGCTGCTGCTTTGTCCTTCCCTACGACGCTGCCGCCTGCGCTCGCCTTTCGCTTGCCGTGGTTTGTGGTCCTCGTGCCCGCTCCCCCTCCCCCGTCCATTGCTTCCCGAATTTCCTTTTCGAACACGACATCTCCCGACTGTGAGCCAATGTCCGACGGAGCTCAACTGTCCTCTACCGACACATTGCTGCTGCCACTTGACGTCGGGCTGCCCCCCCCCTCGTCGTCGTCGTCGTCGCTCTCCGACTCGGTCCAATTTTTTTGTGGGGCGTCGCCAAATCGCTTGTCGTTGAGAACCTTTACTAAGGCCGCCTGACGAGCTTGCCGATCAGCGTCGTCCGAGAAGCCCGGCATCATCACCGTGCCAGGTGGAACCCCCTGTTGTGTACCAGTATGGGGGGTAACCCTGCGGTGAACGGCCTGGCGGGCCATGCCGCTCAGTGCCCGCTGTGCCGCGCCAGCAGGCGCGGTCTGGGCGACCCCATGCCCAGNATGGAAAAATTCGGTTAACTTGCAATTACAAGAAAGTTAACCAGCAATCGATCATTCCGGTGTTACCGTTGCCGACGGTAGCTGATTTATTGTCAGGATTGGAGGGTGCGAAAGTGTTTAGTACAATGGATTTGATCTCAGGATTTTTCCAGTGTGCAATTCACCCTGACAGTATTCCGATTACAGCTGTTTGCACAACTTTCGGTAACTACGAGTGGACTCGGTGTCCCATGGGGTTGGCTAGTTCCCCAGGATGGTTCCAAGGCATTATGTTGCGTGTGTGCGAAGGGCTTGAACGATGTAAGCTGTTCATCGACGATATTGTTATTTTCTCTAAGAGCGGGAAAGAACATGTTGTTGACATGACACATTTTATCGAGCGGGTAAAGCGATGTAACCTTAATCTCGCACCTAAGAAAACTTGCCTGGGTGTTAAGGTCGTCAAGTTTCTAGGACACGAAGTCACTGTGAAGGGTCTAAAACCGGATCCAGCTAAAGTGGCTAGTTTGCAACGAATTCCTATGTCAACGAACGTTAGCCAGCTAAGGTCACTCTTGGGTGGGCTGAGCTACTATTATCGAAGTTTCCTTCCAAATATGGCAGCTCAAACGCGTCCGTTAAACAATCTCTTGAAGAAGGGTACCAAGTTTGTTTTTGGCACGGAACATGTGGAAATCGTACAACGGTTGATGGATAAACTGTCTAGCCCGAACGTGTTAGCCTATCGAGATGCGATATCGGGGGTCAGAAAATTTCGTGTTATCACGGATGCGTCCCAGGATGGATTGGGTGCAGTTANGAATTATCGAGATGCGATATCGGGGGACAGAAAATTTCGTGTTATCACGGATGCGTCCCAGGATGGATTGGGTGCAGNGTATTTTTGGCACGGAACATGTGGAAATCGTACAACGGTTGATGGATAAACTGTCTAGCCCGAACGTGTTAGCCTTTCCGAATTATCGAGATGCGATATCGGGGGACAGAAAATTTCGTGTTATCACGGATGCGTCCCAGGATGGATTGGGTGCAGTTATAGAACAGGACCAACCTGATGGCACAACCAGACCTTTGTGTTTCTTGAGAACAGCAGATCCACTCTTCCTAACGAGAAGCAGTGGACACCAGCGGAACTTGAATGTGGTGCTTTTGTCTGGGCGAATAAAAAGAACCGTCAATTTTTCTATGGTATACCTTTCGAGGTGGTCACCGATCATCAGCTATTGTTAAACCTGGAGAGTTTGTCCTCTAAGGTTAATCGCGTACAACGATGGTTTGATTTTCTGTCTGCATATACGTACACGTTACAATACAGGCCTGGCAGAAAGAATGGCAATGCGGATATGATGTCCAGATTACCGCTGCCTGCAACATCGCAAGACTCCAGTCCTGCACTTCGATTGACTGACCCAGAAGACGTCGATGTGTACTTCTTGGATGCAAGCGGTGAGTTGCCTGCAAATGTGCAAACCGGTGAAACATATGTGTCAAGCTTGGGTGGGCTCGCGGAGGGTGAACCCCGGGTATTATTTTCGGAGGGAGAGAGTAGAGAAGAGATCGAAGCAATACCTGAACCCGAAGATGACATGATGCCATACGAAGAGTGGGACAGTCAAGAAGCACGAAACTTTGGAGAAAATCTCTGCAAAAAGAAGGCTGCAGATTGGGCTGAAGCTCAGGGAAAGGATGTCACTGTTAAAACGGCGACAACGTTTTTACATAGGGAAACATTGATGTCTGAAGTTTCGAAGGATGATCTACCGATAGGTGCGGATTTTGATGAAATAAAGAGAATATTGACACAAGGCGAACTCTTGGAGTTACCTGATGGACAGAAATTGTTGGTCAAGAAGTTAACCACAATGCCCGCTGAACGTCCTAACAGGAATCCTGGGGAGTACGAACGACTATTGGGAGAAGAGCCTGTTCGTACCTACGTGCCGATGCTATTGAGACCATGGGTGATGGACTGCGCTCACAAGGAAGCGATCCACCTAGGTGAGAAGGTTACTCTCGGAATCCTGAAACGGTATTATTGGTGGANTCTAGCTAGGTGAGAAGGTTACCCTCGGAAGCCTTAAACGATAATATTGGTGGATAGGGCAGAGTCAAAGTGAAAGGTGGTGGTGCCGAGCTTGTTACGCATGTCAAGCGAGGAAGACTCCGAGGCATACTAGAAGATGGCCCCTAGTATCTTTACCTTTGCCGAGTAGGCCCGGTGAAATGGTGGCCTTTGATTTCTTGGGACCTCTACCACAAACCAAGAAAGGAAGACAGTATGTGTTTCTGGTGGTTGATCTGTTTAGCAGGTATGCTGAAGCATATGCACTAACCGCTGCAGAAACGACAGCTCAGGGATGTTCCGCAATACTGGTCCAACAGTATATCCCTAGATGGGGTTGTCTACACACCTTTCTGTCTGACAGAGGGGCAGAGCTTACCGCACCTATGAGCAGGGAGATATACCGGATGCAGGGAACGGTGAAAATGTTTACTAGCTCATATCACCCACAGACGAATGGCATGGTGGAACGTCTGAATCATACCCTATGTCAAATGCTGTCTCATCTAATTGCAGATGACCAGAAGAATTGGGATGAATACTTGAGTACTGCAATTGCAGCACACAATAACAACATGAGCAGGGGAACCGGATTATCTCCTAATGAGATCCACATAGGTCGATATACCAGATTACCGATGACGATCTTGGAAGGTCGTGGGGTGCAGGGTCACCAGAGCTTTACACAAAATCAGCTCGACTATCTCGAATTAATGAGGGCTCGACAAGGTAAAGCCTATGATCTGGTTAAAGAAGAAGACCGATTGATCAAAGCTAAACACGCTAAGGCTAATGAAGCTTTGGTGAAGGAGCTCAAAACCAGGCGCCCTAAAATTGAGGCGAACGATTGGGTGTGGTTATATAATGATCAGAGCACTATAACTGGAGGAGGGAAACATGTGCTGAAACCTCAAACAATCAAGTCTGGAGAGAGAAAATCCTTTGCTTTGGTGTCCAAGTTGGCATACTGTTGGACTCGGCCATATCGGGTGTTATTTGTTGGACCTGGAACCGCGCCTGATGGCAGAGAGGTGGGGCCTAAACTGGTGCTCGTAGATGTACGAAAGAATGAACCGGGAAAAGGCATAACATCTCGGGTATCTTTATTGAGGGTGAAGTATTTTAGCCCCCATTCAGAGGATGACAAGCCAAGATTTTTACCGTGGGCCATGAGTAATATGTTCTGAACAAATCCTCTGAGTTATCCCCTCCTTTCCATCTTACGGGTGAAGACGTGCAGGTAAACTTGGACACGTACCGTAATGTGCCATGGAAAACATCCAAGCATAGGTTGGTGCGAGGATTGTCAGGAAAGATTGCGGTTCAATAATACACACATTGGGACGAAACCGAACTGTGCACTTGGGAGCACGAGGAGGAATTGAAACAGTAAGGTAATTTCGTTATGAGGTATTGGACGGGAAAAAACGAGTTGGTTGGTGGTGAAAACGCGAAGTACCGAAAGATACCGTGTCCAATGTGCAAAAAGAGCCGAGGCCAGGCTTAATGGTGNAACATCCAAGCATAGGTTGGTGCGAGGATTGTCAGGAAAGATTGCGGTTCAATAATACACACATTGGGACGAAACCGAACTGTGCACTTGGGAGCACGAGGAGGAATTGAAACAGTAAGGTAATTTCGTTATGAGGTATTGGACGGGAAAAAACGAGTTGGTTGGTGGTGAAAACGCGAAGTACCGAAAGATACCGTGTCCAATGTGCAAAAAGAGCCGAGGCCAGGCTTAATGGTGGAAGACATGTGCCTGAAGGGTTTAAGGTGTGCTGTGATACGCGTGAGCGGCCCGCCCTATATGGCACTGATATTATCGGGTCGTACATATATTTCAAAACCCGCGATTTTGGATGGCAGATCGCGAAGGTGATAATGGTGGCGGAGGATGGTGAGAGCGTGGAGAACCCACACACCGTGAAGTTCTTGGATCTTGCGCGGCAAGAGAATGTACACCTGAGTTTAGAGACTCTGAAGACATTCGATGAAGAACCGGGGACTTGGTGCTGGCATGTACACACCAGGTTAAGGGGGCGAGACAGCGTTAAGAGTTTCCGGTACACCCTGGACTGAAGACGGAAGAAGATCGTCGACAAGAAAAAGCACTCAGGACTGAAGAAGATCATCGACGAGAACTGAAGATGGTGGTTTCGAATAATTGTAAAGGGTTCTGAGATTTATACCTAGTTCAAGAGGGCCTAGATATTTATTTTATATTGTTATGTGTGTGTGATGTGCAGTGGTTGTGCTTCTGAAGGTGCATGTTGGTGCATATTGGAAGAAGCCTGCCTGTGTGTGTGTTGGATGTTGCGATGTGTCTGACGAGGTTTATGTTGAATACGCTGAGAAATCATGGCGAATGCGTACGTTAATCGATGCGCGAGAGGAATGGAATGAGAGACCTGGCGATAATTTACGTGTGTGTTTTGTTTTGAAAGAAAAATTTGAATGTTTTAGGATAAACTTTGTGAAGTGGTTGGAAGCATCTACCATCATCTCACTTGACTTTGTGTTGCTCATAAGCGAAATCATCTGGTAGATTTACTTATGATCAGGGTGGGCTGATTTGGTGAGAATGGGTTTCAGTCTAGTTCGTGGGGCGTTATTGGTTATTATCTGAAACGGTCGACACAAATCTGAGTGTCTGGACGACTGGACCGACCAACCAAGCAGCGTAGACCTAGGGCTGATGTAGCCAGCTGGATGCATCGGACCTAGGGCCCAGGCAATAACCAGCGTAGACCCAGGATTATGAGAGTTAGCCAGTACTATGTGTTTGTGCATTTCATTGGATTNAGGCAACCAATCAGATGGTTGTGTAGTAGGAGAATCACAGACCACGGACTGACGTGTGACTGTTTGTAACGCTTGGTTGCAGTTGGATCCGTCCGGAAGCTTGGCTCCGTCAATCCTCGCACATGAGTCACTCATAAAGCTTTGCCCTCAGTCTTGCCGTACAGAGCTGATTGCAAGATTGCCGACAGTCAATAATAAGACACCCAAAAACAACCGTGCCGAACACAAGACGCTTGAACACAAGCGCATGCACTTCTGACAAGGCTGAGCCTGTTAGCAAGGAAGAGGCAGAACCAGTACCCCAGAGTACCAGTTCGCTCCACACACTCAGAATTGTGTCGACCGTTTCAGATAATAA